GAAAAGGTGAAAAACTGGAAAACAAAATTCTGCCGAGCCGATGCCTTTAAGCTAGTGAAACTTCGTGTTCAAATATAAAGATAATGGTAAAGGCTAGTCGCCGAATTCTGCTAAAAAAATTCCCTCTTGGGTTTGTCAAGGAATCGCGAAAAGAGAAATCCATAGCTTCGCTCACCTCCTCGTCCGTTAACGGCAAGAAATATATAGCTGGTAACGTCTTCGTCTTCATAAATAGTGAATCAGCAGTTTTTACAGGTTTTTCTTCTCTTTCCTTTTCTTCTTCACGCTCGTCACGATGTCTAATTCGATCATCATCACGTCTTCGGTCATAACGATCTCGTTCACGTTCACGATCGTGCTCACGATCATGCCTCTGGTATGAATCGCGTCGTTCTTTCTTTTCTATCGCTGCTCTGCTGAAGGGTGGGGTTTCAGAGCGGTGACGCTTTCTGTCGTGCTCGTCTTTCTTCTGAAAACAAACTTTCAGAAAAGATGAAAGATTGTCTATCGAAAAAAGCTAATTTTAATTTCTAAATATGTTCGAAAAACTTTTAAAAAAAGCAAAAGCCTAGCGGATGCTCAAGAAGGTGGATCAAAGAGAGATGGCTCAAGAAATGCTGTAATTAGTGGGCAAAAACTTGTAAATCTGATATGAAGAACACGTCGTTTTGCAAAGCGTAAAAAAATTGCAAAGCTGTAACAACTTCTTCAAAATTTCACCTCAAAGCGCCTTTTTGCAAAAAATGGATGTCGACTATATATTTCCAAAATCACCCTAACCAAAATGAACCCACCAAAGATGTCTCACTCACTACGGAATGTTTATCGTCGTGATGTCGTTCTTCCTTTGGCTTCTCTTTCTTTTCATCTTTCTCTGTTTTCATTTCAACATCTTTCTCAGCCTTTGCTCGTTCTCTTCTTTCCTTCTCTTTGTGTTCCTCACGTTTTTCATTTTCACGCATCGCTGCCTCTACCTGAAACATGGCGAATAAAGTCTGCAACATGCCTAATAAGGATTGACATGCCGTAATTTTTAGGCTAGGATTTCTTCCTGGTAGCATGCCAAGTACCGGTCTTTCACGATCTGAGTGTTTTCTTTCACTGCGAGTAGCAGGCGCAGGAGTAGCAGATGAAGCTGAGGAGCTCAATCCATTGCGATGTCGCTCCATCTAAAACAACTTTTTTACTTCCCAGTGAAAAAAATTCCAAAAAGTAAGGAAAATAAGAAAAAAACGTACATTCTCTTTGGTATCGAATTGTACGGAAAGCGTTTTAGGATTAGCTGCTGGCCACTGAATATTATGCATTGCATATCTCACTTCGCGAGCTTGGTCGATAGATTGCATCTGAAGCAAAGAGAGATGCAGACTATGACTGAGAAGGCTTGCATCAGAAAAGAATCCAAATATTCGAATAAATAATTGAATACACTGTCCCTGCAAAAAGTCGATTCTGAGAGTTTGTGCTTATCCGGGCCTTTCGCTATGCTGGATCCAAAAATCTACACTGGAGAGCGCGAAAACGGCGGAAAAGGGCTCTAACG